GAAAATAAAAAACTTGTGTAATATAGAACAGAAAAATGTTGAATAATATATATCTTTTACAATTAGATAAAATCAGCTAAACTATGATATAATCGATTGTTCAATAGATCGCGTAAGATGCCGATACTTAGAAAGACTTTTGTTTGTTCGCGGCAAAGTTCTGGAAAGTTTTGACGGGTCAGTAACTCCGAAAATATTTATGTCGTCTCAAACTCTATTCTTACGCCCTCGACATGGATATTTTTGGCTAATGTTGGGTAACTCCCATACATTTACGTTTCTGCGAGCGATTGATCACGAATCGTTATAATTTTATCATTTATTTAGGTCTTCAAATTTCACACATGTAAAATAACGTTGATTGTTTATTTCTAAAACAATTTAGAAATTAAATAAAAACACCGAAGAATGTATATTTATTCTTTTTTTCTCTCGAGGGGAAACTTGCAGTGCTCGTTATATAAACATTTACATGTGGCGTCGCTCGTCATCGTCTGCAATCTTTCGTAAACTGACATTCTATTCTTCTTACATCTTCCCTTACGTGGCGTAACATCGGTTTATCTTCGCCATAGGTGGTGAAGTGCACACTTGTTACCGAAGACGACAAACGAAGACCCTCGAGATATTGAAGTTTCCGAGGAGAAGACTAAAGGGTCGCGTATTGCAGGGGGTCAACAGATGTTACACTGAAGTTGAACGAAGATTTCATGTGTCGCTGTGTGTGTTGCAATATATACATTACCTCAGTTATCTACATACTTCGCTCATTAGAAATGGTGCGTATACTAACAACAGGAAACGTTACTACCTTAACGAGACAAAGTTGCACAAAAATGACACACATTAATTTCTTCAACTATAACATAAAATAATCAATATTAGAATAAAAAGTAAAAGTTAATAATATTTAATTTATAGAAAGTAAAAATAATAGTATTTAACAGTTTTTCTTATGTGAGAAAGACAAAAGTATTAGGAGAAAGACAAAAGTATTAGGTTTATATGATTAAACATTTTTAAAAATTAAAAATAATTTATAATTTTTCATTTATGTATATAAATGGTAAATACGCATGTACAGTAGAGAATTTTTTTTAAGCCAGACATTCTGAAAACAGTTTCACTCGAAGGTTTAAATAAGTAATTGCAATGTTTGCAATTACGTATATACTTATTACAAAAACGGACGTTATCGCGAGCGGAAGAAGACACATCTCGCGGACAAACGCATGTCGGTTGTGTCACGATGCTTTGTGAAGGAGGAAGCATCTGGAAAACGCTTTCCGAGCGTATTAAACGCATGTGCAAGCTTCCGTGCGCGATTACTTGTTCAGAAGAAAAGCAGGGAGGAAGCGCTTTGAAATTTGACGCGGATATGTCTAGGGAAATATATGGGTGTTAACAGCCGTGCGAACAAACAGTCAATCGACCGCTGGATCTGAACGATGTACTGTGTGACAAGAGAATGATTTGAAAGAAGAACGATCCCGTGTTTGTTTCAGTTTATTTATATAAGCGATCAATATCAAAGTGACCACGCGTAATAATCTACATATTTAATACATTATTTAAATAATGACAAAAAATAAAGTGTATCAAATATATTTTAACTTTTAACAAATATAATATTTTAGAATAATTTTTTAAATTATATTATATTTGTCAAATCTCGTTTTGACTTCTTTTTTGTATCACTTCAGCGAGTGTATTTGTAAATATGTACTTTTATTTAAATAGTTCAATATTCGCAAAAATAATCTAATAGAAAAAAATCAAGCTTTGTTTGTTTCCGAACCATCTATATTTTCTATACTCGTATTCCTCTCTTTCACTTTTTACGCAAGCGTGAATCTTCCATTTTAAACATAAAAAGAATATAAAGTTGAGCTAAAAGGGGCAGTTTCACTGTGTAGTTGAACAACATCAACGGGACGCGCGCATCCCTTTGGCACGTCATTTGCAGCGGTCGGATCACTCACGCCCCGGGCACGTAGAACAACAGGAACAAACAGCGCAAAACACAGAGAGAGAAAGAGAGAGAGAGAGAGAGAGAGAGAGAGTGAGAGAGAGATTTCGGAGTCCTTCCGGATTGCGGTGAAAACGACGTAATTCTCGACTAATCGATACACACGAATCAGCTCGGTGAAGAAGTACCATTGTAATTTTGCTAGAAAATACAGAGAGAATATATAATAGTAAATACCCTTAAAAACACCTTTTCATCCGCATTATAATTATTTCCGATTTCTTTCTTGTATTTGCACAAACGCAGCTTTTAACGAAGTTGCGAAAGTCTCGGAATAATGATGCTTCGCGCTTCTCTTTTCTCGAAAGAGAAAGCGCATTCCATGCAAGATCTTTTAAGAGAACGTCGAGAGCATTGAGCGAGGGTCTATCACGACAAAACACCGGCGATATATGAGGGTACTTACGGGATATGGGAAAAGCCGAACGCATGCTCGATCCTCATAAGAGAATCTCCGATTCTAAATTTGCCGTTAATAGCAACAGCGTGACGAATGGACGCAGATGCATTCGACGTGCCTTCGGGAGACGTGCCCTGTTTTGAAAACGTGCCGATATCCCCGACGACGACATCCGACAAGCTTTTGGATTTACCAGCCCGTCGAGTATGTCCGGTCTGATGATCCCGACTCACGCTCTCCGATATCCCGTGTCGCTTTCACGCCCGGTGGAAGTTCTCTCATAAATCGCCGGCAATTTCAGCTGTCTTGGCGACACGATCGTCGGTGACCTCGATCGAACAGCATGTTAAGCGATTATAGAAAGCATAAATAAATAAATAAAAACAATGCGCAGTTAAGGCAGAAGTCGTATCTTTGTTTTTTTTTACGCGTTACTCACTTTGTGTATATTTGAAATATTGTTTGTATAAATATATACGACATTGTTAATAATATTATTATTTCTTTGTGTAACGTTGTTTCAAGTAATAATATTGTGCTACAATATTTAATGTGATTTCAAACAAAAGATTGGATGACAAATTTATGATGTCTAATGTAAATAGCTTTTTACTCAACAAAAAGACTGAGAGTTTACGACTCGTCCTCGAAGTGCTCGAAATTTCCGTTTAGATTTTTTAAGAATGTAGAATAAGCGACACTTTGGAGTAGATGCGCGACAGCTGACATTTTATTTCGTTCTTCCCTCGCCCTCTCGCCGTTAAACAGTACAATCCAAAGCGGATTTGTGAAAATGTAGGCATAATATGTAGCTTCAACAATCGGACCTTTTTTCGAACACATATTTAAGAAACGAATTGGGTAGATGAGGGCGGTCGAAAAATCAGCGTTTGTGTGTGTGTGTGTCTGTGGTGTTAAACGCTTGGAAATAATAATAATACATACAATCAGGTTGTGTTGAGACGTAGCGGTAAGATATATGGTTCTTAGTAATCTTGCAGTGGTTTGCCGACTAGATTATCCATGTGTCTGATAACTCTCGACTATCTGACAAGAGCTTGTTAGTTAGAGCAAATGTGAAGAAAATATAGTAGTACAAGCAGGGCCGGCGAAGTAACTTTTTTACATGTGTGGTGTAGTTCAAAGAAGAATGAATTGATAATTTTAAAAGAATTAGTTATTGAATTTATATGTAAAAAATATACATACTTTTTTTTTTTTTTCAATTATTTATTTTTATTTTATTTTTCAATGTGTAGCTCGTCGAATGTTATTTTCGCATATGAATTCATTTACTAGTTCTTCTAAAGCTGCGTTCCGATATTCACTGCCAGTACTAAACATCTATACTTTACGTCACATGTACTATAGATGTTCAGTACTAGCAATGAATATTGGAACGCAGCCTAAATCTATCGATTAAACTTCTTCTTTATACAAATTCATTATGGTAACGCTATTTAACCTATTTTGAAGCATTGTTGAACGTAAGTAATTTTTGAATCGGTTTAACTCAGAAAACGACCGCTCGCAAGTACAAGTTGACACAGGTATAACAAGTAGTAATTTTATTAGTTTTACAAACTCTAACGCGATACTTAAAAGTGATAAGTTACTTTTTATAAAGTTAACTACATCTTTAAAACTATTGGCTTTTACTTTGCGATTACGCATTATGTCAAAACAAATTTCGCGATGTAATTCTAATCTTTTGGGATCAAGATGATCTTCTTTATCGGTATTATAAAAATTTGTTATAAACATATTGTTGGACTCGCTATTAATTATAAACTGTTCATATTTTCTTACGAACAACAGTGCTTCGTTTTCAAATCTATCTTTTAGAGAACAAGGAGTTTGATCTATTATTTTAAAAAACATTTTTTGATAAATATCTTTTGGCAAACATATAGTTCGATTGCTCGACATATGTGGAAATTCCACACACGTCAAGTTCACATGTGTAGAGTACTTCTCTATTCTACATACTGATCGCCGGTCCTGAGTACAAGCGTACGATGATAAAAGCAAATAAAAAAGACATCAAATGTGCTTTTCAACTGTTCCTCTTTATTTCCACATATTTACACCATCGCGGTATGTATATCAATAAAGCTCACTTATATACTACGTTTGCAGGCTTATGATAAGTTCAACGTTTCGAAAAAATTGTTGAAGACGCGCATCACTCTCACGTGTGAAATTGTTGTAGATGAGATTTTTTGTCAAGAAACTTGAATAATTTCCTTAACTAGAAAAACAAAACAACGTAAATGCAAATTGCGATGCGGAAAAGGGAATTTCATTATATAAATAAAATGTGATGGTTATAAAACTAATTAATAATAAAACAATTCTTTCTTAAAATTAAGTGTAGATTTTTATATTATGTTTAGAAACAAGATATAATAGAAAAAATATAAAACCGTTTTTGCATTTACGTTGTTTTATCATAAAAATACAAATACAATTGACTTGTTCAAGGAAGTTAAATTTTATAGACGTTTGTAATAAAAATATTAAGTATGTTTGTTTTTTTACTAACATATTTGGTATATTAGAATAATTGTAAATTTTCAACAAATATTTTACGTCAAGACAGATATTTTTTCCGCTCTATGAATGTTTCTTTTTTACATTCACATATTAACTAGAATATTTTAAACTATATTAACTAGAATATCTTAATACTATGTTTTCACAGAATGAGACTACAACTCTTTTTTATATTTTCTTTTTGATATAGATAAAATATTTGAGTATTTCTCTCTCGCGGCGTTTCCAATATCTCACGTAGATTTATCGGTAACGATAGGAAACCTATACTGTTCGCATACTTTCATCGAATATTCTGGACTTGTTAATCTCTAGCAACGTCCGTAATTCTCGTTTCAATGAAAAACTCATGTGAATGCGTTCGGTATGCCGATTAAAATTTATACGGTGTTCTAAAAATCGTGCGCATTTCTTTTCGATTGGAATTTTTGCAGAATAAAACAATTTTTCCATTTTATTTTTTTCAAAATATGCAAACTTCTCCATTTCTAATGTTAAAAGCTAGGTATATGTTAACATAAAAAATATATTAACTTTAACTATTTCAGATTGAACACTTTAAATTTCTTTGGCAGAAGAGACAATAGAAAACTAAGTCTTAACTAGAAGTACAAAATTTTATTTAATACTTTTCCTGTTCTAGAGTTAATTGTGTCGCGCTCTTTCAATTTCTAAAAGTGAAAAAAAACATTTTAAGTGATAGTTTTGAACATTCTGTGTAATATAGCAATATTACAATTCCCACTGTTTCTACATGTGTACCTACATATTTACTTAAAATATCAAGTGGTACATATTGCGTTAAGGAAAAAATCCGTAAGAAATCAAAAATAAAAAGTTATAACAAGCTTCTCAATGATGTGATGAAAAATGATTTTCGGACGGTGCTTGTAAAGGTCCGTTGATGCTTTGCACAATCATACTGAGACAATCCAAGCTGCTTCCGTTATTTTGTGAAGGTACCGCATCAATTTGCTCGAAACCTGAAATAAAGGATAAAATTGATTAATAATAACAATAAAAAAAGAACAACAACAACAATAATAATAATAAATAAAACTAGATAAAACTAGATAAAATATTTTTAAAAAAGCATGTGGATTTTATACATGTATATTATGTGAGTGACTTCGCTTTAGTCTAATTTTCCTATTTCTGATGTCTCAAAATTTCTGGCCAAATCGATATTTTAGTTCAAGACTTAAAGTTCATTTTCATGCTGCATTTAGTACAAAAAGACTGCCGCGACTCTGGAGCAAATGACGATGAGTTTCGCAAGCGCAACGTGCATAAATGTAATGTGGTATGTGCAAAGTACAAACTACGTTTAAGCAAACTTTAGGTATTCTTTGACCATCGTCTTGTATATCTAGATACGAATGAATTGCAAGCACTTCCCGAACGGGAACGGGAGTTCTTTTTTCCACTTTTTGTTGCCTTGTGTTCGTAGAGTGAGTATTTGCATAAGTTATGTACTGCGACGTAAGGGCTTTGAAGCCGTTATTCTTGGCATCGGCGCGTGTGCGCATCTCGGGGTTTCTTCCCATCTTAAATTCGACTCATATTTTTCAACTACTTTCACGAAAAGTATACACACATCTATGATATACGTAGTCTGACATAAAATTTAGAGAATATCGAAAATATAATCTTGTAATAGTAATGTTATTTAATTAAAATTAACATATATTGAGTATATGTAGTAAGTAAATAAATTAATAATAATAACATGTATACTAATAAAGAACAGAGATAGTATAACAGATATATTTAAATATATAAAATACACAAGATATGACGTTAACTATCTAATAATTAAAATAAAATATATAGACACATGCTTTTGCAACTCATCGTAAAGGATAATTAATCAACTACCCACATTTCGGACGTTTTGTTGGCACGAAAATACGGATAAATATATATTTGCTAAACGTAACCAAAAGAGAGAGCACAAAACTAATAATATTAGTTGAAACGATGAGTAGGTACACTCTAACATGCTTCGATAAATACATGTAGATTCTTTCTTCTCTCATGCTCCGTTTGTTATTTGTAGTCAACGTGTTTGCCTAATAAAAAGAGACAGATAGAAAGAGAGATAGAGAAGAAAAGAAATAAAAGAACAACCTAAATAATGAAAAATCCTTCTGTGAATCTTTAGTGGTAAAGATCAAAGAGTAAAAAAAAATCTTCATCTTTATTTTATTTCAAGTGTGAATATCATATAGTTTACTAAAATTTTAATTGGAGGCTTGATATTACTAAGAAATTTAGCATAAAAAATAAAAGACTTGTATCAAGAAAGATATGATCTAATTAAAGTTTCGTTGCGAACAAGGATTCCACGTTCAATAATCAAAAGATTACGTAAGTAAAGCTCACTCACTTAAGTTTCATACATACACATGTATATGTGTATGTATATACGTACATACATATATACATATATACATACATACATACATACATACATATACATACATACATATATATATATATATATATATACATATATACAATTGCACGATTAATTCTTCATAAATATTGCAAAAGCTTTGTCTCAACAACTCCAATCACCATAAAATTAGAAAGAATGTAGAAACAAAAGTTATATAGTCATAAATATTTATTAAGGTTTAAGACGTTCTAAAATAATGAGAAAATAAGAAGATTTTGCATAGCATATAATATTGCCTTAGTACTGGTGATATAGAAATGCTAAAAAATGTTAAACATAACAATAATTTTAACAACGTTTAATAAATGAAGATGTTTGTTTTTAGTAATATTTTAATAAAAATTGTATATATTTTTCCAATATACTTGCTAACTAATTTCTCATCTAAAAATAAGAGATTTTTTGATTTATCAAAATAATTGTTTGACAACATACAAATATCGAAGCATCGAATATTTGTTTATAAATTATCGCGAGTCGCACAACCACTGTCATATTTCTCTCTCAGATGATGTACCGCCTAGATTGGTTGCCAAATGCGTTCAATACATTGCGTAATAACGCGACACTGAGTAAGTAGGTTTAGCGGTAGCGTAAATTATTTACAGAAATCTGACGAAATTGTCCAGTGTAATATAATTTTTGATGTCTACATAGACGGCCAAATGGATGATGTAATAAATATTTCTTTACTTCTTACATCTGTTGGTCTGAAGTAACATCTAAAATAGTAAAAAGTCACATGCTGCAATTAAGTAAACGAGATTTGAAAAAGTTTTATTTCTATCTTTTCTTCTGCGATATTACATACATGTATGTATTGAATACATTAAACGCTACGGTGGTCATCTGTGACCGGCGCTTGTCTTCTCAGTAAGGTCACTTGTAACCGGCATTATTACATTTTTAAATAATTAAAATAAAATAAACATCATCGATTAAAACAATTTTTTTAATGTAAATAATTTGAAAACATTGAAATAAAAAGTGCGCTATTCTACAATTAAAAATTTTTATTAAAACATAATATTTTATAAAACTTAATGTTACGATGTACTATGTTAAAATATTTCAAGCAGAAATAAAAGTGATCATTGTAATCTTTGCAATAAGTAGTTACTTTTTTTGCAATTTTTTGACTTTTGCGAATTGAACTTTCTGACATTGTTTTTTATACCATATTTTACAAGATGTTTGCAAGAAATATGCTTGCTCTTTTTTTTTCTGAATTTCATGGCGTAACATTTTCAGAAAAGTTATTCTATGATATATCTCACGTGAAGATAAATTTTCAATATTAACAGTGTCGAAATTTGGGAATTTAACCCAAGAATAACCGAGTGTATAATGTAGAATCATGGTAGTCACGGATGAGCACCAGCGAGATAAACGCACGCACTATTGATATGATTTTATATATCCATATTAAGTAATATTTTTTATCATTATATGTACTTAGAATTATGAAAATTCTATTGTAGCCCCCAAGGTAAGACATATAAAACTTGCATGGCAATTAATGTTAAATAATAAAGAGTTTAAGGCTCTTGAGAATCAAACAACGTGAAATTTTAAACCATGAGAGCCATACGCTGGCTGTTTGTCGCGTATTTTTGTATATATATATACATATATACATATATGTTTGTGTAACTTTTTTACACGTGAGTTTTGAATTGAAATTACAATTCTTAAATTCATATAGAATGCTATATTTGCATCTCATATATAAGAGATCCCGTATACCCCCCTAACTAATTTTAAAATATTGCAAAAAAACTCCTCGCCCAGGAGTCGAACCTGGAATCTCCGGCTTTCCGTGAATTTAAGAATTGTAATTTTAATTCGAAACTCACGTGTAAAAATTTATACAACCATATTACAACAAAATTTTTACAAACATATGTGTATATATACATATATACATATATAATAAAATAAGCGACAAACATCCAGTGTATTGCTCTCATGATCTAGAATTTCACGTTGTTTAATGTGTTAAATATTTCACAAGAGTGACATTTTACTTATCTTATATCAAAATTTGAAAAGCAAACAATAGCATAACGAAATGTTTCGCGCGCTAATTATATTATTATTTTGAGCAACTTATCCTCACGTAAGTCATTAAAATAGGTTACACTTTGTTCATGTGGGATAATTTCGGGTGCGAAAAGTTAATACGTTCTCGGCAAACTTTTTTTGTGGAAAAAAAGAAAAGCATTTGAATGAAGTAATGCTGCGACAAGACGCACTTGAGCAGCGTCTTGTTCCAGGAAGTTTGGAGCCACCGAACTGTTTCTCGTTAATGAGAAGGAATCAAAGGTTCGTTGTGTCGTTGAAAGAGAAGAGTCGCGCGCAGGTTCAGCAAATCGTCTAGGACACGTCTTTGAAGATGGAAATGCAATTAAGTCGTTTCAATTTACTCGCTGTCTTAAGCATCCGGTGTTCTAAATGAATCGCAAACTTTTTCACAAAAAAAGTACGCGCTCCACGCGCGCAATTTAAGCAGTTTATTGGTTGTACAACTACCTATAAAAAAATATAGATTTTGGATTCTTATAATAACATTTTTTTGTTTAAGATATCGTATGATTGTTTAACTACTCTACTATAGATTTTTTATTATTATTAGTAATTATTTAGTTTTTTGGCAGTTTTAATGTTTAAAAATGTTGTTACAACCCTTATAAATATTAATGAAAATGTGGATTAAGTTCTGGGTGTTGTGTTTCTCTCGTATTATATTTGTGATATTAAATATTATATGATTACATAATATAACACATGGTGCAACAGTTTCGAATTTACGAAATGTAAACAAGAGAACTTGTCTGTAAATGTAACAGACGTTGTTTGATGTGTTGCAATCACGGCTGATTCTGTCGTATAAACTAATCAAAATTGCGTTTACAAATTTATGCGAGCATTGGGAAATTCCATCTGCTTCGCTTATTCATGAGCCGAAATATATGTATATAACGTGTACTAACATTATCTTGTCACAAAAGAGAATTTAAGACTGTGTGAGAACTTAAGAAAGTGTGTTGTGATTTCTACAATGTAGTAATCAAATCATTTGTATCAAAATCTTCCCTTATAAAAGCGAATTAATAAATGATTAATTTTTCACTAAAACGCAGTAATTAGTTTTGATAAACTTTTTCAATGTATACGGACGTGTAAACTAATGAGATTGTAAACTTACTTGTAAAAAAACGGCTTAACAGAATAAAAAACAATTAAATACGACCAAAAAGCCAGCGATTCAATAAGTGATGGTTGTAGTATTTTTTTCAAAAATTTGAGTAATTCATGTTTATATGGTGATGATGGTAATGAGCGTTTTGATCATTAATTGACATTTACATTTCGCATGTAAGACGGTTTGGCTCGATCTTGTTATCTTTGTGTCGGCGACATAGGAACAATATATAAGTTGCTACTCACTTAATTAACAATTTTCCAGTACTTGGACAATTTGCTTTTATGCATATTGTCGAAGTTATTGGTTATTTATTT